TAAAGAAATTAACATTAATTAATTTTGTTAAAGAAATTAACATTAATCCCAACTAGACCCCCTCCAGATATGCTGGACCACAGCTCCCATAATCATCAGACAACATGTGGAATGAACATTATTGGAAGTTTTCATCCAACACATCTGAAAGGGGCCAAGCTATGAAAGGATGGTCTAAATAGCATCCCCAACTGAGAAAAAAAAAATAGTGCTTATGTTTCATTCAGTCACTGAAATCTTCTAACTTGCATCTCATTAGGTAGATTTCTGGGTCAAACTTTCTGTAGCTTCAGGGGAAGTTAAGTAGCATTTGAAAGATGAAGAATCTCTAATTCTAGTATGTTATACGAGCTTTGAATCCTCAGTGATTAAGTTGATAGTGCAGATAAGAAAAATGCATACACTGTTTTATAAATGAATCACTTTCTTCTACCGGAAGGTTTCAAATGCTGTCTTGGTTTATTTGAGATATTTCTCTGTCCATGACTTTTGTAGTAACTTTGTACTTTGCTCCCTTGTAAGGATCCCGCTGTGCAAAGTTGGAACAATTATTCTGAGTTCTTAGAGGGTCATAACCACATAGGCTTGGTGTGCATATATTTATGTAAATTATTCAAATTGTCTAGCCCTGTACATAACATTTTCACTTTACAAAACCTTAGCTGACTGTATTTTATGAGAGTTTCTATGCAACTCATATGTTGATCATTGATCATATGTGGTGTATAATATTTTTTACAGTCACAACTACTATGGGATGTTTCATTGCATCACTTCTTCATAATAAATGGCAGCACTATTTAAGATTGCATGTTAATTCTTATATGGAAGACTATTCTGTGTCAAATTTTGCAATAAAGGAAGCAGCTGTAGGTTTATAATAGGTCGGGTTAGGGTTGATTAAAAACCATTTTGCTCTACCCTGATAACAGCAAAGCATGGAGTTGGATAAATGGAAGATCACATTGATTTGATAAGTGAAATAAAAGAAGTGAGAATGCATTTACACTTCCCTGAGCTTTAACTTTTCAGAATGCTTGCAAATCTCCAAATGGTACCATCTCATTAGGAGTCCTTTTGCATTTTGCCCAACCACAAATCTAGACTTGCCTTGCCATCGGAGGTGTCCGTGAGTAAATTTGTGCAAAAACAATTGAAGACTTGCCTGTTCATCCAGGCATTTGCAGGGTGACAGTGATCTGGGAACAGGCTGCTGTTTTTATTACCTTGTTTTGTGGCAGACTGCTTTATTGTTCTTCAATTTATTCAGCTTTGTTTTTCATTGAAGGTAATTTTCAGTGGCCTTTTTTGCATACCCACCCCACTATGCAAAAGTTGAAAAATATTTTAAAGAAAAGCACATACCCCAAATCAGCATTTTGACATTGAATTTTAGCCACATTATTTGGGGGGGGGGGGGAGCAGAGGCCACCTGGACTTACAAGTCATCCACCCCAGATTTCAGTGGAAGGCTAGTGGGTTTATGCAGTGTTGGTTCTGCTTGCTGTACAAGTACAAGAGTTAATATCTAAAGCAGCATTTCTCAACCTTGGCAAATCTCTAAATTGGGTTAGAAAACCCTCCCCCTACCATCCCACACCCCCCCCACAGCGCGGAGGAGTGG